CATTTTTGTCCACACAACTGCCAGTCACTGGATATTTTCTCTTTTTCGGACCATTCTCTATAAACCCTAGAGATGGTTTTGCGTGAAATTCCAGTAGATCAGCAATTTCTGAAATACTTAGACCAGCCCGTCTGGCACCGACAACCGTGTCGCATTCAAAGTCACTTCTGATGCTCGGTTTGAACTTCAGCAAGTTGTCTTGACCACGTCTACATGCCTTAATGCATTGTGTTGCTGCCATGTGATTGGCTATTTGAGTTAAAGAGGTGGTATTATGCTCATTTTCAGGTTCAAAATCGTATTTAGAGGTTGTACCAGAACAGGTTTACATGGTTTAATTTTCAAAAAACACCTTATTTTTTTCATACTGCACTTTGCTGCAGCTCCTTTTTTCACCCTGTGTGTGAAGGCTTCGTTTTAGCTATGGAGTGATACATCTTGTCTCTAAATGATCTTTGTATGGAGTTGCACATGCACAGTTCTTAAGGACTACTAGCCAATCAGAAGCAGAGAAAGGCGGGCCAATGAGAAGCCGGTAAACATGGCTTTGTTTCAGCTGTACATGTTGCCTACCAGCTTGGCAACATAGACTGGAGCAAGAGTTTCAGTGGTGAGTTATTAATCTGTAACAAAAGTATCTTTCATCCATAATATAACTGAGCTCTGGAAGGGAGAGGAGGTGTGTGCTGCAGCTCAGTGTGTGTTTTTGAGGGCGTGTCGGAGTTGCCGCTTGGCAAGCGTTATATTTATCCCTGTGATCCCTGTGTCGTCACAGGGATGAAAGGGAAACGGCTGGACTACAAACGAGCTGTTTTCAGGCAGTTCAGAGCAGAGTTTTCTGTGGGAGATGGGAACTCCCTTTGGGTTGGACTTTGGGCTTTTTCACTTTGCAAACCTATTACATGCACAAAAAAGGTGTAATATTATTATATATTATATTCATTATATTCACTTCAGAAATGAGCCATGCCCAACATAACAGAAGATATCTTAACAACCCTAAACTTCCCTAACAGAAAACATAAAAATGTACAGAAATGACAAAACTCTAACCTGGGCTCCTACCAGAAGGGGGAAAAATAAAATAAAACAGAAAAGGGCTTCTCCCTCTTATTTAGCCTGCTACTGGGTGCTCAATATGTACAGATATCTATTTACAAAGATCAATTAATTTGCATTGAACAATCGCTGAAGTCACTGAAGCAATGAATCCACATCACTGAGTTATACAAATTTTCAAATCACTGAGCTGCAGTTTCTCTACTTACAAAGGATTTCACAACATACAGATCCACAGTGGTTGGCGCATAGAAATGGCAGAGTGAAGAGCAGATTCTTTTTCTTTCTCTTCTTTATAAATTTGATTTGGCACATTACCACCACCAACTGATATGGAGTGTGGATCAAACTGGCTAGTCCTAATGCCCCCCCCCCCCCCCCCCCCCCCCAAACAAACAAGAAAACTCATATCCTCTCAATTATATTGATTACACTGAGATACTGAAAAACTGTTTGTTTGAGTTCTTTCACAGAATATCTATTAAATCAAAGTCTACTTTTATCTTTCTGAGATTTTGAATCAGCTGCCTTCTTCCTTTCTCATACTTCTGACAGTGGAACATAACATACTCCATCTCTTGTTGCCCACAGTAGTCACAACTACCAGAGTTATATTTGCCTTTGAATAAGTCGAGTGTCCGAATCTAAGTTTTGATGTGATTGTCTCATCTCTCCTGTTCCTTCCTGCACATTTCTCCCACTTTCCTCTGAACTCTGTAAAACCACTGTCCTTTCATCTCTTCCTCCCTTTTGTCACCTTTCATTCATTCTCTGTTTAGTAGAAGAGCAGATTGCTGTCATCTGGGAGTTAAAAAGGCTGCTGTCATCCATTCGACCAAACCTGAAGCAGCAATCAACTCGACCACCTGTTTACAGTTACATGCAAGCACACACACACCGAGGGGGGAGAACAGACCTGTCATTGCAAAGCAAAATGACAAATATGACCCAAGGGTCATAACAATGGTATTGAAATAAATGCAGATGGAATAACATCCTTAAAATTAGCTACAGCAATATTAGAGAGACATTTAGTGTAGGAATTTCTGCCTAATGGCATCTGTCATTAGGCAGTTGAATCCAGTTATTCAATAATTACCCAGTCTGTTGTGGGGCCCATTTTGGCCTTTGTCATGGCTCAAAACTGACATCCATAAAAAGTTTGGTCTCATCTTGAACCGGAGAATCTGCAGATTAATTCCATTGATCCACTGAGTGGATTATCCACCAAAGTCCACCATCTTGACTGTAAGGGAGCCGGGAGGGGGAATTTAATGAGCTTCAACCAAACTCTTCTTTGTTTGGGAGGTAGGGAGGAGTTTTATTTTGGTGTGTTATGTTACCACAAAATGTTCTTAAAAAAATAATATTTAAGACGTACCTGGATTTCTGCGCTCTTTTAATTTAACATGTTTAATCTGCTGAGGTTTGGAGAGAATTTACTGAGGTAGAGAAGACCGGAGATGGTTGTAACATTTTAGACATTTTAAGCCTGTGTGTTCAAAATGTGATACATACTAGTTAAATGTGTGTGATATTAAATGGGGTAACTGTTATCCGTTATTTCTGTAATACAGACAGGCATCAGTTTAGTCTCAGACACATACTATGGAGACACCATCTATAGATTTGCTTATCCCACTACCTTAGCTAAACTGGACCCCATACCATGCTGCTTTGAGGTATATAACAGGTCTCACCATTGTACTTTATATACCATGGCTGGATTTACTTCACTCAATATTCGAAGGATGAAGCATTGGTATATTTTCATATACAAAGCCATTTTAGGAAAATTGCCATCATATATCTATTGTAAATTTATTGCCTTCCAGAACACACACAGTCTCAGGGCCAGTAGCTGGCTGTGGTTTAAAGTGCCCTTTGTGCGTACAGAGTCAGGAAAAATGAGTCTGTCCTGTTTTGGCCCATGGTCTTGGAATGATCTGCAGCTCAAGTTGAAGTTGGAGTCTCTTATTCCTGTATCCAGTTTTAAACAAAAACTGTCAGAGGTTTTAAACACATCTTGCACCTGTGACATTTAGTCAAATTACGATATGTTTAAATTTCATTGTGCTTTTATGTCTTTTTATCTGATACTTTGTTGTAAATAATTTAATAATACTGTTACTTTTATGAATAATGTTGCTGTACATGTAATGCCTTGTTTGCACCTTGCACTGTGTTCTGTTTCACATCTTGGCCAGGACATCCTTGTAAAACAGAAAATCTCAATGGATTTCTTTCCTGGTAAAATAAAGGTAAAATAAAATAAAATAAAACACTGAAATTAATTTTGAATTTCATTGTTGTAACAACTTACCCAAACTCTTATAGCAATAAACTAGTCACAGCTTACAGCTAAAACATCAGCACTGACAAACTGCATGAAAGACATCTACATAGACACACAACAACATGATTTAAGTTTGATGAGTTCAACTACAAAGCAGGCAATGTTATAACAAAAATAAATTAACTTTAAAAAAACACTTTCTTACCACAAAATTATTTTTTTACCTTCTAAAATTGGCTGTGCCAGCCACAAGATTATACTTTATCCCATGTGGAATAAGGACTGGGCACTGGAATAAAAGTAACTTGGATGTAAGAGCTATCATTATACTATTTAGTTTCAGGATTTGTTTATTATTGTCTTTCTTGTTGTTTTGTAAGGCCTGAAGTAATGCATTCAGTATGTCTTCAACCTGGACTAATTTTTCTAACTTTCTAACTAAATTAATGTAATGCTTTTACACTTGTTAAAGCACTTTGTAACTTGTTTTTGAAAAGTGCTCTACAAATAAAGATCATTATTATTATTATTATTATTATTATATAAGTCCCAGAGTTGCTCCACAGCGACTGAATTAATAAATTAATGAAAACCCTGGTTTCAAACATGCCAGAATAGAAGGTCATAATTCCATGCAACATTCACATATGTTAACATTATCAATTGTAAACCAGACACTGTATCACCATGTATGTAACAGCCTATGCAATAGTACTAGATCATTATGTACTGTAGCAGACTTTTCACTTTTCACTGGCTCTCAGTGGAAGGTGAAACCATTAAAATGTGATCAGTGGTTTTCTCATGTGTGTACTTACCTAATGATCTATATTGATACACATTTCATTGTAACATTACATTTCTTTAGAGCCCCATGTCACGTTGGTGTCATTTCTAACTTCTTGGCAAAGCAGAGAACAATAAAATCAATATTAGTCAAAGTAGATCAAAGGTGTATGCTTGCTGGTAAATCTCATTATTACTGTTTTTAAAGGTTATGAGAGTGCTCCATTATGTTCTTAACTTCAATCCCATTAGCCTGGTGTGCCTGTTACTAAACACGTCTCTTACGCAATAACAAGATGTCAGAAATTCACTAGATTACTGTTGTGTTTTTAAATTATATGGCACAAACAAATTGAAAACACCCCGCTGTCTACTGTAGCTTTGTTCAAGTGTTCCATTTATATACATAGCCATATACACAGTCTACATAAAGAAAAAGAGTGATAATCATACATCATAAGCTCTCTTGATAATAATAAATAGTAATGATGTCAGTCAACAAATGCACATGTGCAGGGGTTGTTGGTTTTGTTTTAATAGTCTTATACAACATGAAGATAATGCAGTGCATTTGCTGATTATCTTGTATGTCTGTGTTATTTCCCTGAAGTGGAGCAAAATACTTATGTAATGTATATGTAACTCAGATGTGTAAATCCTGTGAGCCTTACGGGTGAGCACCAAGATGATTAACTGTCCTAGAACACTGCTAAGACAGTTGGTGCCAGTAAAGAGAGACATAAACAACACCCCCCTTTAGCAACAGCAGTGGTATAGTCTGGATTCATCTCAGTGTTTTGGCACTACCTGGACTTTGCTGGAACCACCTCATAGGCCGAGGATAGGGGTGGCGTGGGATCAGGGTTTAGAGAGAGATTAACCACATATAAAGCTTCAGTATAATCCGCAAATTCAGAGCAACAACTACTCTAAGAACAACATTTTTGCTCGCAACTCGCAGTGTTTTGGACCTTGCAAAGCCTGTTACACTTGGATTTACTTCAGGGTAGTCATCATCAGTAACACAAAGGTACAAAAAGGGAACAATCATGAAAAAGGGAAAGGTACGTTTTTAACTTTCTTGAATTATAGTTACACTATTGCTTTGTAAGTGATGTTATGGTGCACGGATAAGGATCCATAACATTTTAATGTAATTTTAAGACATACATAATAGAGTCATGGCTTTGAGTTAGGATTGTAGAGATATGGCTCTCCTGTTTCTGATGGCCATCTCTTTGTAATGACAACATCACAGCCAGACATAAAATCCTCAACCACATTATGACATAAAATAAAAAAGATTTTGTGATTTTTGAACGCGTGAGAAAGAGCTCATTTAATTAACACTGGTTTCTCTGTACGTCAACTTTAGTGTCATCTGTGCTGATCTGTGCTGGAGGCCAATCACATCCATCCTAATCCTTTGACCTAATCAAACATGGAGGCTGTTTTGTAGACAAATCTGTAATGGAAAATTGTCTGCAGTAAGCTTTAACAGTCAAATCTCACGCGTCATAGACTGTGCACAGCTAAACAATAGGTGAAAGGAAAATAGTACTGTGCTGGCTCATATGTGTGAGAGTAAACATGATCTGTTTTTTAACAGTTTTGAGAACAGTTTTTTGTGCAAGTGATTAAAAGTTGTAATGACCCTACTAAACTTAATATGATCCCAGCAGGTGAGTGATGACAATGAGCCACCCAGTTATCAGGAGGCGACTGCAGGTAAAAACTAATGTTCAAGATCCACCTAGACTTACTACACATATGACTGTCTGAGTCAAAGTACTTGGTGAAAGAAAATAAGACTGACAACATACACACAGGGTGATATTTATTCTTCCTCATATTTTGATGGCATATTTTGTTTAATTGCAATTTGTAATTTTAATAATAAATGCTTCTAATGTTGCACCTTTTTCAAGTTTAAAAGTTGTGACTTGACATCACATTATGTGCTGAAAAGTACACATGGTAGTACCAGACCAGTTAAACCTCCCTCCTTCACGGTGACTAATTTGTTGGAATAATTCAGCTGTAGTATCATTTTAAGACACTGCCTGGGATTTATCCTCAGTTTGTACAAACATGTCTCCTTCCTTCCTCTCTCTTTCAGGCTATGGGGAGATGGAGGCCCAGTTCGCCTGGGATGACAAGACCATCAGGCGGACCTTCGTCCGGAAGGTATAAATGTGTTACGCGAGACATTTGACACCGGTACAAAAACAATATCACAGTGACACACCTCCATTGCTCTGACACAATGTATGTCTGCCTGCAGGTGTACGCCATTCTCATGGTTCAGCTGCTTGTCACAGTGGGAATTGTTGCTCTCTTCTCATTTTGGTAACTACTCTTGTGTTTCATCTACTATATCTCACAATAAACTATTTTACTTTTTTTTTTTTACCACTTTTTACCACTGATTAAAACATGAATTGAGTCCATTTAATTGTCGTCTCTACAGCGCACCTGTGAGGTTTTATATTCAGACTCATCCTGGCTTGTACACGGCATCTTAGTAAGTGAAAACACACCATCACATCATAGTGTCCCCGTTACTTTATTTACTAAGTGTTGTATCATTATTTGCCTTTTTTTTTGACAGCCTCATGTTCTTTGCCACTTACATTGCGCTGTCCTGCTGTGGAGACCTGCGGTAATATTTCTTCTGCAATATTAGTAACAACAAAAACATTCATTACACTAGTTACTGCTGTGTAACTACACATTTGAGAATTTAAGTTGACAAAATATATTTTCTTTTTTTACCCAAACAGGAGGCAGTTTCCTTGGAATATCATATTGTTAGTTCTCTTTGTGAGTATCCCTCACCATGAAAACAGTACATTCTTGTAGCTCTATACTCATTCAGAAAGCCTAACTGCGGTAATGTTTCTTTACTTCTTCCATCAGACTTTGAGCATGGCCTTCATGATGGGATTTGTGTCAAGGTAAATACATACTGTGACGCTGGCATGTGTCTATGTGGGGGTCTGACATTGATGTCAACTCATCAAGTCTTTCCAGACTAAAAGACTATGCAATGAATGTGACTGCCTTCTCTTCCTCCAGCTTTTATAACACCAAATCAGTGATGCTGTGTCTGGGAATCACGGCTCTGGTGTGTCTTTCTGTCACCATCTTCAGCTTCCAGAGCAAGGTGGGAAGAACTGCTCAACTGCTTTTTTAATCACCCAAACAGGCAGCTTTGATGAAATTGAATAAATCCATCATCCATCTTCTTCTCTATCCTGTTGCAGATTGATGTCACATCCTGTCAGGGCGTCCTGTTTTCTTTGTGTGTGGTCATGCTTCTCTGTGCCATCACCATCTCCATTGTTGTCCCTTTCGGATATGTAAGTTCGCCTCCTCCAGCAGGGCCAGCACGATCCACACCTTTCTAGAAGATGTCTAAAATAGCTGTGATTAATGATGAGTTAAAGTTGCAGGTTAATGCCTCAGGTGCTGATGGTGTATTTGGGTGTGGGAAGGGATTAGCCTCACAGATAATCTAGCAAAGCACTTAGCATCCTGCTATCCTTCTTACCAGTGTTTTGTAATGCACTTTTGTCTTGCGCCACAGGTTCCCTGGTTACATGCCACTTATGCTGTGGTAGGAGCCATTCTCTTCACTATGGTGAGAATCTGATACTTCATCAAATCCTCAATATTGTTCTGCTGAAGTATTTCTTGCTTGTTTTTGTTGCTCATTTCCTCTCCTTGTCATCTCCTTCTGTCTCTCCTTCTGCCACAGTTCCTGGCATTTGACACTCAGTTGCTGTTAGGGAACAAGCGCTACTCCATAAGTCCAGAGGAATATATTTTTGCCACCCTCAGCCTCTACCTGGACATCATCTACCTGTTCAGCTTCCTACTACAAATCATGGGAGGAGGCCGCGAGTAAAGCATCTCCTCCACTTTTCCCTGCATGCTCTATAGCTGTCTCTCAGCTGAACTATTTGAATTCTCAACAAACTCAACAACCCACTTGGATTAATTACCCACATGAACCAGATGACATCAGGGCTATGCGGGTTTTGAATTAATCACTGTTATAGTTTTTTTTTCCATTTTTATTTTTTTATACATGAATCAAAACTTGTTCTCTGCTTTTGGTTATGTAACCTTGTCTATACAATCCCGCCTGATACCTTACCGTAGATGTTCACTGTACTCTGGCCATTCTGGTTGATCTGTTTTTGTATCCCTCTAGTGTCTAAATCGGCTCATAAGTGGATAAAACACCAAAACCACAGTTGAATATATTCAGGTTTTCCTTGCTGCATTAATGTGCACAATGTTCATGCATTTAGAACTTAAAGCAGTTCAGCATATTTGATTAAGCTGATCTACTTGCATGATTCTTGCAGTTCTTGGTTCGTACCCACATGGCTGAATCCACAGATGGTTTTTTGGATCAAATTGTCAGTTAAATAAATGTAATGTAATCCATCAATGATGCAAAAACAGGGAACATTCAGGAAATCTTTTCCAGTTCAGCAGGGTTTAGTATGCTTTAATAACCATGTACAATATATAGTGTTTGTTTTATACTTGTTTTTAATGCATACCATCATAGATGACAAGTTTAATGTTTTACTGTATGAGTGTGAGATACTTTCATAGTAACAGGTCAGTTTGAGCATGGATGTTTTCTGGGGAAATACTCTATGAGGGAAAGATGAATAAGGGGATTTCAGCTAACATCAAGACTTTTGAAGCTAAGATACAACCAACCACAAAGGGAAAATGTGTTTGTAGCAGCATACATACTTTAACAACTTACTTTAGTTATTAGAGATCAGTTGCAATTTATATTCTAACTTTAATGTGGCCTTTGGGATCTGATAGAAAATTATTATTATTAGAAATGTTTAACTGTATAGCAAATAAAACATGTTAATATATATTTTTTCTAAAGACAATGAGCAGTGTCCATTTGACTGTGACATTATTAAAATAAAACTGACATGTGGAAAGAAATGTTTGATCATTATGATGTATGTATGAAGGCATTCAATCATTTCTTGACAGCTGTTCCACTCCAGATGTCCTTACAGAACAATTTCTAAACGTGTACAGATGAGAAGCATGTAACCCTGTCAGCTGTATTGCCTCGCAGGTCCTGGGTGTCACAACTCCACCCAGCTGCTAGTAATGTCTTCTCATTCCTGCTCCGTTTCTCTCATCATGTCACTAACTCTCCTGTTGTTGCAGATCCAGCCTACTCCCTCCTGCTCTCAACAATACAGCCCCTCTACCCTAAAAATTACACAGTTCACGCAATCATTGAAACAAGGCTTTTATTAAAAAAAAGAAAAACTGACATATTCAAAGAGAAAACCAAGAAAGAAGAAAAATCTTATCTCAATCAATAAAAAAAAACACAAGTTACAGACAATTTAGCAACTCTGGCACAGGAAGACAAAAGTAGCCAAGTGGCTTTGCAAAATAACCAAATATCAAAACCTCTTTCCTCTAACAAAACTGTACAAAATGAGTTCTTGTATAAATAAGAAAACTGTTCACAAGCAGGGAGTGAGATGAGCCCAGTGAATTTTCTAAATGTCTGGGATTTACACAAACTGAGTTCATACAGTGTGGAGCAACAAGGTGTGTTTTTACTACTCCACGTTCAAAAATGTCACCGTAAGACATCATTTATGAGTTTTAATGTAAAACACAACTATGTTTATCGGCCATTAGCAAACTAACAGTATATAATCGCAAACTAATTTCTGTTTATCATGAGGTTACTGAAAATTAAACAGATGAGTATGATATCTATATTACCAAATTAAAATAAAAGGGCACATTTTGAAAATCCAGACTGGGCAACATCTAACTACCTGTTTGGAAATCCTGTTTTAGCAGCAAAACATTTTAAAGCTATGAAATAAGCCATCTGATCTACATTAGGATGGACAAAAAAGAGCATTTTCAAATTGGTGTGGATAAAAAATAATAAGTGCAAGGAGATTTCTTTATTTCAAATGTTGTGCGCTGTATAGAGCACACCGTTGATTAGTGTTCGTTCCTACAATTTAAATGTAACTTAAAAGCGACTTCTGTATTTTTCCAGCTGGACCATATTTCCCCATGTTTTTGTATCTATGTGACTTTTGGGGACAAAATTTCTTGGAATTAGTCTAGTTTTGATCGAGTGTGCTTTGACAGGTTACAATTGCCCACAAGGATACTGGATCACTTTCAAAAAGGTTGAAAAATACCGAAGTTTCTTTTTAAGGTTCTATAATTTTCATGATGCTAATAATTTTTGGAGCATCATGATTTCCTGTAATATTATCTCTTTGTAAAAATTTTTTTTAAATAAATAAAAACACTGCATTGTAACAAGTGGTCATTTCATAGTTCCAAAATCCTGTTTTTGTATTAAAAGTGATGGCTAATACATGGAATATCATTTCTTTGAACATATAAACAATATCCATGACATTTTCCTTCATGGTGCACTGAATCTGAAAACTTGCTAGTCACTGTGTTATCTGGACAGGTTATACATCATAAAAAATAAGAAATAAAAACACAAAAGAAGAAACAAACAAGTTGGTGTAAAGAGCAAGTGGAAGGAAAGAAAAAGACTATTTACAAAATTAGCTCTCGTGTCTGAAAACTCTCGCCATCATAAAGACTCTGTACTCCTTGTGGGTGTCTGCAGAGGCCAATAAAGTCCATAATGAGTCTGTTTACACCCACTCAAATATGCCATTACATATGCTGAAGGGAAACTCAGTTTAAGCAACACATGTAGTCAAAAGCAGACCATTTCTTGTTGTTCTTTTAAAAAATCAGCTGAAATATTTCGACACGTGTACTTCACTACATGACGGATAAAGCAGTGCCAAAAACATTCTCACAAAACCTTAAACCATAGTCATATTATATATGGAATATTGTTAGCATGTTACCACGCTTATTGCGATCTTTCTCTTTCTGAATCTATCAGAACAAGACCAAAAGGCAATTTATCCAGCTACACATAACAGATCGTCTACGGGTGAGAGCAGTTTGTCTGTGACCGAGAGCTAAAAGACGAGTGGACACAACATCTTTGGTTGCGGAAATGAACAATAGAAACACAGCAAAAAGTGTGACGTGAGAAAATGTGAAGATGTAACGAGAGTTCAAAACAGAACCATCAAACTGTGAGTCTTGAGAAAGACGTTATCACACTGTGTGTTTTTCACTGGATTCAAACATGGATTTTTGAGGAGCAGGAAGGGAAGCTCCTCATAGAAACCTACAGCTAACTCCACCGACATGACGACTACCTCTGGCCTGCTGCCATTTCTGTAGTATATACAACTTAGAGTCAATCCTGTGAGAGATCAGGCAGTTGATCCAGAGGAAAACATTAAGGCTTAGCTAAAAATAGTTTTTGCAGAATTTTTGGATCACTCACAAATCCATTCAGACTTGCTGTCTCACTAAAGGCTGTAAGAATCATCTTTAATGGCACTTCCATGGTCTAGTGAGCAGTCCTTTGTTAAACCATGATCTCTATTATCTACATATCTACAGTTTTTGATGTCTGTATAAATTAAAGTTCAACATATTTGGATGTGGTGACATGAGCTCCATGCAACATGCTGACTGAGAGACTGAAACACATCTGTGTAGGAAGCCTCCTCTAGTGTATATAAATCTTCTGGATCAGCACTAAATGAAGTCATTGTTTGGTTCAGCTCTCCACTCCACTGAAAGACTTTTCTACAAACATTTTGTGGACAGGCGACACAAGGGTTTGGAACAGAGATTTGTGTGAAAACAAAACGAAAAAGAGAAAAAAAAAAAGAGAAAAGTTGATGTGCACCAAAAAAAACAACAGCAACAACAACAACAACAACAACAACAACAAAACAGCATCAATCCCTATGCAGAGAAAAACATCTACTCTCTATAAAAAGCTAAACTCTACAGCTAAAACCGAATCTACTTAAAAGATGAATTCAACAAAAATAAGGCAAATTAGCTCAAAGGTTTTCAAGTGACAGACAAAAGAAAAAAAAACTGAAAGCATTTAACTTTCTACACACAAAAATTCACTGACAGAGAATCAAACTCAGGTGACAACAGCAGCATTGACTTACAGCTCCCTTTCCTTTCAAACTAATTATTCTCAGGGATGGTGTTAGTCATCTATCTGATTTCCCTCATTGCTTTTAAACTATATATCTTAATTTAGTAACTGCATTGCTCTTTGTACACATAATCTTTCAGTAATCTAACTGCTCAAGATCTAACGCATGTTCACTTCATCCCTAGGTCAGAGGGTGAATTTAATGATACCTGAAGGTTTGTCACAACAAAACCGCTTAAAACCACTTCTCATGGTCACCGATGTATCATGGGGTCACACTAAAACAAAATTGCTGTTAGCATGAACAGGTGTCTGTCTGATGTCTTTTTTGATGGTGGGTATAGGATGTGAGCTGAAGTGAAAGTCATCCAACCATCTGGATAGGATCATTTCCATGAGCTAACTATTAGAGCTCATCATTAATGTGTGGGGTAAAGATCCATTTCATCATCTTTATAGGCTACAGTATTAAATAACTTTTCTACAAATGTTTGTTTCAATGGTCAAAAAACCCTCTACAAAATAGAACTATAATTCAAATATAAATAGAAATAATTGATTGTCTTTTGTTAACTTATGGAAGAATGTTTAAAAAAAAAAAAGACTAAATTATAAAACTATGTTACTATCATCTGTGCGTGAATAGAAATCTCTGCAGCAGTTACAGGAAGAAGTAGCTTTAAACGGTTTGCCTCCCACGGTTACAATGACTCCACACATCAGACGAGCAAAAGTGTTTTTAAATCTGTACAAAGTGTTGCCCCTGCTGCTGCGAATAGAATGTCAAACAACAGACATCAGGAAATAAAAATAAAAGTTTGCATATTTTACAAAATAAAAATAAAAGACACATTGTGTTTCAACTCTTCCTTGAATCACCCTGAAACATCCAGAATGCTTTTTTCTTTTAAAAATAAGATTTTGTTATATTACGCACACAAAAATAATGCTCTGTGTCTTTTCCTCCTCTCTTTAATTTTTTTCTGTTTCTTTTTTTAAAACTTCTTATGTTTCCTTTTTTTCAGTTATCAAAATAGATAAAAGCGTCTGTGAAGAAGATTCCCACCTTTGGTTGATCGACTCTTGAGGAAGTGAGCAGGAAAGTCCAATGATGTGAGTGTTGTCCTTTTTCTTAAAAAAACAAACAAACAAAAAAAACCCAAATACAGATATACGCACGCACGCACGCACGCACGCACATGTTCCTTTTGTTATCCATGTTCAAGTCCAGGTGTTTGGTGATGGTATGGAGCACAGTTCTCTCTTCCAGCTGAATCCTGTTTGGTTGGATTCATCTCGTGCCCTCGCCCCCACCCTGCTGGGAGCTGTGAAACACACATAACTCAGTACCGATACACTGTACCTACTCAACCTTCTTTCTTGAACACAACAGTGCTCAAAACAGGTAAAATTTGTTCAGCAGCACTTCAGCAGTTTGCAGCATAAACACAAAATAGATAAATAAATTCGCTAAAACGATAAAAAACAGGACAGAGTGGCTTAAAATAGCGCGGTTTCAAAAACTGCTGTCCCCATTAGTCACTTAGATGCAAAAGCATGTGAAAGTACGGTCCAGGTTGAAAAATACCAAAATTCCCCATTTTGTATGTTGGTTTATTCGCCATTTTGATTTTCTGAAACAGCAGCATAGGAATGCAATGCTGCTTGTCTAAGTCCCATCTGTCTGAGCTCAGGAGAGGACTGCACATCTCATAAACATTCCCCTCTCCTCAAATGATGCTAGAACCCATTTCCAATCATTCCTCTAAGTTTTAATTGTAACGTCCCAATCAGACCAGTATGTGTCCTAAATTAAAATGTGAAAACGTGTCTGAGTTGTTTGTTTCAAATATTACCAATAACACAATTGGTG